AATGTTTAAGGATTGATATTTGTTTTTTTTTATATTTTATATATATATATATATATATATGTTCCCTTATTTTCAAAATGAGTTTTGGGAACTACATGTTTTTCGAACTGCGTTTTGCAGATCATATTTGTCTCTCCTCTGTTTGGTTTAGGAAGGAGGGTGAAGATGCAGTTTGTTTGGTCGTTACGTCATTATATTGGTCAATGTGCACAGAGAGCGTTTATTTGTATTGAGCTTCAAGTGAAGAGAATGTCATCTCTGAATATCTATTTAAAAACAATACAATATTGTAAAACTTATTCTGAAGAAAAGAAAGTTTCAGTACAAAACTAAAATATAATATTGGTAGAAATAAAATCTAAAAAAAACAGAAATTTTAATAAACACAATAAAAAAAAGGTATTAAGAAAGTTACAATCAAGTTATTATTTTAATTCATATTTTACTTTTCAAAGTTTCATCTTTTGATTGCATATTTTTCAAATTTAAATTTACAAAATATGTTGGGCCGTTAATATGGCATCCAACCTGGATGGAAATGGAACATAAATTCACAACAATACCCTAGGAGCATTGTAGTTAGAAGGTTATGCACAGCAAACCAGGATTTGGTTATTTCTATATTTACTTTAAAATTCTTAATCAGGATCAGATTAGATTCTGACTGTATTGTGAAATAAACCCTTAGTGTTTGTTTTTTTATTTGGACCAGACTATTTGGTCACAGCCTGATGATTTTACTGGATTGTGTTGATTTAGTTGATTTGATGAAGCATTTTTTTATAGTTGAATAAAAATTGGAACCATTTATTTCCTCATAAAAGAAAGAAAGTGTAAATAAAATTAATTGGGTTTATTTAAATTAAAATAAGTCTTGCCCTGAAAGCTATGAATCAAAAACAAAATTAATAAAAAAAAGTGTGTTAAAGATAATTTGACCTTGAATTCATGCAAAAAACACAGAACTGAATGATGCAGATTTGTTCAGACCCCAGTGGTGTTTCCTTTGGGCCTTAGATAATACCTACTGTAATGTAATGACAAGTATCTAACTGGACGTTGCAAAGCATGCATGGTAATGTGGGAATTAGTGGGTGAGAATGGCTTAGATGATCTAACATGTTGACCCAGGTTGCCATGTTTCTCTCTCTCCAAACCTGCAAACAGTGATCCCTCAAAAACCAGTTAGCAAACAGCAGACTGAAAAGAAAAAGATCTGATTCAATAGCTCAAAGCAGGTGGTCATTACTTTCATTTTACTGTTGAAAGGCGTGGCGTGTACAGCAGTTTTTATTCTCGGTTAAAGCAACGCTGTATCTTTTACCCGGCTATTAGCTGGATTTTGAATATATTAAGCAATTTATTGAGTCAGTGATGCTCTGTGTGAGCTTCTCCTTTTAACTCAAGAAGGTCATGTAACCCAGAGCACCGCTTTATGGCAGTCTGCGCTAACCTGAAAATAAGTAGTGCTTAGGCAACAAAACAGACAGGGAACTTTTCCACTGTCTGCCATTTTGATTGAAAAGGTCAAACTAAATTTACCCTGTTGTTTAATAAAAAATAATACTAACGATAACAATAATTATATTAATATTCCCGAAGCGCCGGCCTGGGATTGGCCTGCTGGCCTGCGTCTCTTTTATTTTATTTTTTTTTAAGTCTGCCGGTGCAGCAGTGGTGCGCCTGTCAGAGAGAGAGACAGACCAGGCCACTTTGGCCAGTAGAATTTGAGGAGGGACACAGACAGCAGCAATTTTTTGTACAATGAGAACCCCTCTCAGTCATAAGTTCTGATGATTATCCAAAAGGGGAATGTACAATAACTGAAATAAAAAAAGATTTTACTTAATGTTTTAATTTGAACATTAAATTTTTATAAATGTATGCTTTCCATCTCTAATAAAAAAAACAACATTAGTATGTTGCCTAGAAGTTAATAAGGAATCGAAATAAATACAAAATAAAATCATATTATAAACCAGTATTTATAAAACTGGAGTTCATCTGAGTTGCTCCCTTATAACCATTTTTAAACTTGGTGAATTGGGAACAAAATGCAGAACAGAAATTATAGTCAGACTGACTATAATTAGCTGAAAGTGAACTCAAACTTATAATAAAAACTTACTTTTTGGTTGATAAAAGCTTTTTTTAATTTTTCAGTTGGGTCATCAGAAAGCAAAACAAATCCCAGTCCTATTTTATTTTATGTCAGTCAGTCATGTAACCAGAGTGGCCTGGTTACATGACTGACTCCTGGCCTGAAAAATCTCCCAGTCCGGCCCTGCTCCTGCTCCATATGGACCTGAATTGTGCATCTGCTTGTGCATAGTTAAATGTCAAATTTCTGCAGATCAAGTAACTCTTTATTGGAATGAGTAAGTTAGTATATTCTGACTTAACCATAGAGAAATGCTTTATGAACACCTAAATTAACAAAAAATGAAAAACAAAAAACAGTTTTATATTCTAATACTTGCTCTTTTTACCACTAAAATGCTCAAAGAGCAGATTGCAGGTTGGAGCCTCACTTTTATCAAGGATTCCTCACAGTGGAAAATATGTGAGGCACTGGTTTTAGAACCAAAATGTATTTATATATGAACAGTTTCAGCTTTCTGGGTCGTTTTTGTGAAAAAATGTTACTTCCATATCTAAAACTTAGATATGGAAAACTTAGCTTTACAGCAATAAATGATGGATAGCAATGCTAATTCAGATGACGAAGAGAATTAAAGGTGTGCAACTACACTTATGATGGAGCACAACCCTATAATTATGAGCTTGCTGCAAAGTGGGGGGTAATGGCCAAAGGAGACAGCTTGTGTTGTGGTGTGAGAGCAATCAGTGGAGTATTTATGAACTCTGCTTTAGTTCAGTCCAGCAGCCTCCTGCTGTTTTTCTGGACCACAGACGTCATTCTGAGAGGTTTTGAGCAGCGATCTGTTTAGAGCTTGACAACAGATCACAATTCAAATCTCTGGTGGTAATCAGTGAGAAAAATCAGCCATCTTCCCTTTGTTTAAAGTTTCTCCAGCGTTCCTGTTGATCCCAAACAAGTGCCAATGGAATCTCCTGTTTACTGTTAGATTTGCATCGGGACTGGAGCAGCGGCGGTGTCTCAGTCCCTCTAAGGAAACAAGTTTCATTCGTTTCAGCATCTTTTAGCAGACACTCTGCTTAAAGATGTTTACGATCAATAAATCTAATAACAAGTCCACTCAACCTGGTAACTCTCTACTCTCCACACAAAGTGCGGAGTAATTCAGTGTTTGACTCCCCTACATCACGTTAAATCACACAACTTGTTTAAAAAAGCTGTTTTTAGAGACACAGCCAAGAAATGAAGAAGTCAGTTTTATTGATAAATTAATCTCGTTATGGTGACCAAAACACTTTAAATCCTAGATAAAGTTTTTAAATATGATCCATTAGAGCAGTGATTCTTGTACCCTACTCATACCCCTAGTGGTGTGCGAAAGCATTGCAAGGGGTGCATTAAAAATATTTGATCTCTTAGGTAGTAAAATAAAATAGGGCTGGGATCTGTTAAACAAGCTTTTAGCAACCAAAAAGTCCTTTTTTCTTTGAGTTCACCTGCAGCTGTGACACACATGCAAACCAAGCAGAGGAACAGACTGGATGTAGAGAACAGTCTGTGATCAGCTGGTTTCACACTGAGCTATAAGAGCTACTCAAAGAAGCTCAGCAGTCTTGATGAAAACAAAGTAAAACTAATTAAGTCAGTGAGACTACAATAAGTAATATATAAATATAATAATATAAGTTTAAATGTGATTATTTATCTTTTAAAATCTATTTATTATTTTCTAAAAAAAAAAATAATAATAAATAAATAAAAAACACAGGTTTATATGATTTTATTTTTTATTTAGCTTGATTCCTTACTAACTTCGATCATACTTATTTTTTTCATTTTTTTTATTAGAGATGGAAAGCATAAAATGCCTAAGAAATAAATGCTCAAATTTGTGAAATAGTTTTTATTTTATAATTAGTTATTGTACATTCCATAATTAGTTATTGTAAGTTCCATTCAGCAATACTTTTGACTGAGGGAGGCGTTCATGTGCGTTCTCATGTGCTTGTGTATAACTCATTAGCCTCAGCCCTAGTACTGTTTCAATTCACAAGAACAAAAGACTGAGGTAGGTCAAAGTCTCCAGATGTGTTTCCTGCACCTCCATCTTTACCCAGGATGCATCAGAGCAGAGTTGTCCGTTCTTGAGATTGACAGCTGTCCCAGCATTCCAATGGAGTGCTAACAGAGCTCAGAGTATTAAGTTAAAAGTTCTCTTTTCTGTTGTCGTCGTTCTAAAAAAGTACATTTTAAGATCATTCAAGGTGAGAACGTTATACTTTTGAGTGTCACTATATGGCCCATTTACCGAATTTAATGTGTAATTTTTTTATTTTCTTTATTTACGATGTTGAGAGGAGTGCGGCAACCGGTGGAACCCCGATGGTTACAGCAACCGTGGCTAACATTAGCCCGTCTGCAGCAGCCCGCTCTCTGCATAGCCGTGTGTGAAGGACCGCTGGCTATGATGGAGATTTTGGGGTTTTATTTGGCAAAACATTAATTTGATTTGTGTTTATCTGACTGTGTTAATTATTATTCTCCCACCAAATGAAAAAAATAGGAATTTATTATTATTTAGAGACTATTAATAACATAATTATCACCATATTTATGCTGAATGCTCCCGTTCTCCCCAAGTCCACACTTTCCTGTGTACTTCTCAAGAACATCCTTGGCGAGGACACGAGTATTGTGTTCTTGTGAATTGAGAAACGGCCTTAGTTTGCATTTTATCAAAAATTAAATGTCCAATTTGCTATTTGATATTCAGCAGCAAATCCTAGACAGCCTGGCGGCTTCAGAGAGCTTTCACGGGGCAGTCCCAGAATCCTGATGACCTGACGGCACAGATTTAAGGTGGACTTTCTTGTTCAACATCATGTTAAAAAAATTTTTTTTCAACTTATTAGAGCAAATAAAGCCAAACCCCTTTTTAAAGGGAAAGATGAGAGCAAATCAACAACAGATTGCAGATCATCCAGAGCATCTTACTTCTGAATACATGCTGAGGTGTTAAACATGTTTTTTCCTGCAGTGACCACCTGTCACTGATGTAGATTTCACGGGAGACATCTCTGTTCTCTGCTAATAGTGTGCCAAAAGGTGACGTGTGCCATCTCACTCCCAGCGTTTACCAAACCTAAAGTTGACTTTACAGTTCTTCATCTCTTTCTCCACTTATTGTTTGGAGCTGTCTGCGCATGGCTAATCCTACATTGGTTTTATCACAGAAACTTTTCACACAACATTTTCCCTTCTCCCCCCCGACAGCAGAGTGCATGAAGCCCCTGTGCATGTGTGTGTGCTCACACTTGCAGGTGCCCGATGAGCTGTCCCACGGTGATCTCTTGGGCAACCCGGTGGTACAGACTGTGGCTGTTCAGGACCATGCTCTCCAGGATTGCCAAGGAGCGCTGCAGGATGGACACATCTACCATGGGCTGGTTCACATAGCCTGCGATCTGATGAGAGAAAGGAAAACTTTATTAAGAAATCATTTAAGTTAGTCTCAAGACTCACCCTGCAGGGAGGAAAACTTTTAAGGTACACACTCAAGCAGCTATACCAATTACAGTTACTAGGCAACGTCTCCCACAGGTTTCCAGTCTGCGAGCCAAAAAAGAAGGTCAAAGAATTCAACGAAACAACAGGAATAACTGACCCTGAAGTTCCAGAATATTTAATTGAAGTAAAGTCGTAGGGAAACGGCTGTTCCAACCGTTGCATTTCTGAATTCTCCCGAATGGTGCACGACTTTACACGAGTAAATAAAGTCAATGTGATTGGTTGTTTATCAAGGGGGCGGGATTGTTGTGGCGAAAGGTTCGCAAGCAAGTTTGGTTGTGGCCGGTTTGTCGGAAGCATCTTGCTAACCAGTTAGCAACTTATTGCTAGTACGTTTTCAATGGGTAATTCCATTGGGACCAAGTAGCACTAAATTGGTGACTTAGAAATGACGCTGTCAAGGAACGCTATGGACAGAACAAACATGCAAGAGGAGGAGAGTTTAGTGTCGGAGGTCGTGGATGAGTCTCCTCCGTCACACGAAAGGAAATGATTCTTATTTCTTATTTTAACTGTTGCGTATATTAGCTGCAATATCTGAATCAAGACGCTATGACCTAAAATATTTGATTGACAGATGACCGTTGATATATAATTGGCCGAATTTAGGAGTTCAGGCTGACAAATAACTAACTGGCCTGCAGAAGATAAGGAATAATAAAAACACAGATTTTAAGACAGGATTCTTTTTAGAATAGATCATTTCTACATTTTGGGATAATATTGTCTGATAAAAAGTACATTTATATGCATGTTTAAGCCAGAATGATTTGACATTCAAATATGATTTCCCTACGACTTTAAATTCAATTAAGTTTATTTATATAGCGCCAATTCACAACACATCATTTTAAGGCACTTTACTGTACAATTCATCCGGATCATTGATTCAAAGTTTTCTATCTAAGGAAAACCAGTTGATTCCACCGACTCATTGACTCGAATGCAATCCCTCACACTAAGCATGCTTGTAGTGACAGTGGAGAGGAAAAACTCCCTTTTAACAGGAAGAAACCTCCAGCAGAACCAGGCTCAGTGTGAGCGGCCATCTGCTGAGGCCGCTCACACTGAGGCACTGAGGCATCTGCTGAGGCAACTGTAAACCTGTAAATGGTACATAAAGTTTGTGTAAAATGATCACGAGCTTTTAATGGGGGAAGCACCTGTTTGATGAAGGACAGCGAGATAAGATCCCAGGACACGATGCCGTGATCCATCAACTCCAGGAAAGCGGTGAGAGTGAAGGCCAACATCTCCCCGAAACTTAAAGGAGAAAAAAGAGTTAGCCTGGACATTTTTAAAAGCTCTGACTTTTAAAAAAATCCAATACGCAAAAGAATCAACAAATTATGCCTTATTGCTTACTGAGTGCCACTCTCTACCAGCCGAGCCAGCGTTCCTATGCCCTCCATATTGATGAACTCTGCTGCGAAAGTGGGATCTGCAGACAGCTTTGCGAGCTCCTTTAAAGCCTCGAGGCGAGCGTCTATACCATGTGACTGAATCCTCTCCAAGAGTTGTCTGGCAGCACGAGCCTGTTAAAGCCAAGAAGTTAACATCACTGTTAACATGAAAATGTTCAGTAAACGCTCAACTGGGAATCCTGAGGCAGACAGAGACTGATGACTATATTGTGATATCCATAATTATTGGCGCATCTAGTTGCAGATATTTTTAATAGCATTACAATAACTACTTGTTATGGAAATTCTGTGAAAACAATAACCCAACTTGATACGATAAGTTTAAAAAAAAGCGTGCGCCTGCGCGTTCACGACGCTACGGAAGCCGGCAGACCAAACCAGATGAAAGTGCGCATTCAGCGTCTGCTCTGCCAATAATGCAAGCGTAGAAGAAGAAATGTGNTAGATGATGATAAATAACATAGTTATGTATAATATATTACATTTCTGACTGTATATCCCTGTAATTATTACACACTGTAGCTTTAAATTGAATAATAAAGAAACAAATCTACCTTCATATAACTAAAAAAATGTCTAAATAACAAAAAATAATAAAAATAGTTTTAATAAAATCAGTAAAAAAAAAAGGCAAGTTACTTTCATAACCTTTTTTCTTACTAAGAAGTTTAGCAGTTCCGCAGCAAATATCGTAACTTTATTATTTTAGGTTCAAGAACAGATGGAAATATGAGTCAAACTGAACACAGAGAGAAATCTAATCCGACTCAAACGACGCAACAAAATGCAATTGAGGGCCAAAACATTTTTTTTTTAATGATTTATCCCCTTTAAATAACTAAAATAAAACTCCATATGCAGATGTTTCTCTCTAATACCGACCTGGTCCATCTCTATTAGCTGAGCATTAGCACCGGGCCACTCAATCGCAACCTTCACGATGTCTGCTGGTGGCGGCATAGCTGTCTGCTCTGGTCATTCCACCCTACAGGAAAAAAGAAAAAAGAACCTCTGTTGATCGGAACCAACAGAGATTTGAAGATAATTAGCAGCAGTTTATAAATGACTCAGTAAACAGAGACATGCAGATAAAGTTCTCACTGATTAATATCTTCTATTCACCCAATAATATACCAACTATTCATTTTAGCCTAAATACTGGATATATAGAAACTAGTGTTGCGCCGATGCCATTTTTTTGGCCCCGATACTTGGCTGTGCAGTATTGGCCGATACCGATACCATCTGTTTCAAATAGATGTGTGTATATATGAAGAACTGCAAACTACTTTGATGTAAAATAATTGCCATCATGGCGTTGTCAAGCTGCTGCCTACCTTTGTAAAGCAGGAAAAAGAATAATACAAAGTGAATCCAGTAGAACTTTTTATTGCCTACCTGGAATGGGTGAAAATATTGGATAAACTTTTGGCTCTCAAAATGGTATCGGTGCCCTATTTGTTGGTACTCACTGATCCCGATACCACCATTTTAGTTCTGAATCGGGGCCCTTCAACACGAGTTATCGTGGCATTGGGATTATCCACACATTATCATGATTGTTTGCCTAATACAAACAGTTTGAAGCATATTTATATAGGCATCAAGAGATTAAACTTGTTTTATATTTTATTTTTCTTTACTTACACGAGACTTATAGGTAAGGTTGAGTTCAGACAAGAAACATTTTTCTTTTAGCCATTTTCTGACAGAAATCGCAGCTTGAATAAAAAAAAAAATCTAAGGTAGGTATTTAAGGTATTTTACTGGATCCGTTATTGACATACAACTATATATGTATATAAAAATATAAAAGAATATATATAAATATATATTTTACTAATATTTTTTTGTGTTATTTTTTAACTCTCAGGTTTTTTTACTTTCTATATCTTTATGTTTCTTGTGCTCACTTTGTTCTTTGTTTCTGTTTGTTTCAGTTTTCCTGATCCCAGGTTTTTGTCTGGGTATCAAATTAGTTACAATGTTACATCAGTCTGCGTTCCTTCATCATATACTGCTTCCCCAACAGCCACCTGTGCCAACCAAGCATCTGTCACCAGCTTGGAATAGAAGCGCCCTGCTTGTGCCAAAGAGCAATAAAGCAAACTTTCTATAAGCTGGTCTGCTCTCAGCGGATAATCTGATATATGTTTATAAAGATATTTATACACTGATCCAAATCAAACTCTAGAGCTTCCATTCATTAAAGAAAACAGTCCGGACGATTTTATGAGAGGGTGGATAGTCGGTAAAGCCAAGGTCAAAGGTCAAGAGGCCAAGGTCAAGAAGGTCAATAAGACACTGAGATGTTCAGACTGAAGTCCTCTAAATTCTTAACCTTTTAAGTTAGACTTTCTTTTTGCTCTTTTTTAACGTTTTTCTGGAGGCTTTAAATGATCAGCTTGGTAAAGCACTTTCAAACCAGACATTCTCACAAAGTTCAAATAAAATCATGCTTAAAATAAAGATTTTTATGTAGACCAGATTGTTAAATCCTTTTTTAGTCTTCATAATTGTCTAAATTAATATCTTAAAAATAAAAAAGTGAAGATCTACAACTACGGTGCTAAAAGCGAAATGGGTGCACCCAACTTGCTGGTGCAGCTATGAATAAAAGGAGCCCTCCTGCAACCAGAGCAAAAAGTTAGCCTAGAGTCCTGCACTGGTGGTGCTTTCTTCTACTAAAGGTATTTTTAGAAATGGCGAACAGAAGCAGGTCACTGTGTTTAGTTGTATTTAAATCTTTGGGAAAGAGAAAGTCATAAAGTTTAATTTATAATCAAAATCTCTCCAACTTTTAAGTAACCACAAAAATTATAGGTCCAACATCAGCCCTCAAAAGCCAGTACTCTGTAAGTGTTTCAGATTTTTCCTTTTTCGTCGTTTTCTTAATTAAATCAACGTCGGAAATAGTTTGAATCAGCTTTGTAGGAGCAGGAGGACATCTAAAGCATGCAGCTTCTGCTTCATCTGGCTTTGTGAGCCAAAACACATTCCCAGAGCATAGCAGTAATCTAGATTACCAAACTGATAAGCTGAAAGAGTTCTAAGAAGAAAAAAAAAACTAAGGAGGTAAATATTTTACAACACTGGATCTATAAACAAGGTCAACTTACTGGGGAAATTGCTAATCGAAGGATTGTCCCGTTTTTAATGTCACCGCGGCTCTGAAAAAAGAATAAAGGGCAGGTTAGGGTCAGCATCACTTCACTATGTCTTTGGCAGAGCCTGGGAAATAAAACAGAATCAAACCTGCTCCGTGATATACAGCTGAGGACCATCAGCATAACGCAGAGCGAACTGCTCGGAGCCCGACAGAGACCACCTGAGGGCCAAAACAGGGAGGACATGTTTAAACAAAGAGATATTGATTCTCAAAAATAAAAAACATTTACAAGTAAAAAAACGTGGGAATGATACAGAGCGCCAGCGAGTAAGAACAAAAGGTTGCCTAAGTCAGGCCTTTCCCTCCAACAAATGTATTTACACAAGAGGCACACAGCAAATATGAAGAGGAGGTTTTCAGTGGGAGTCCGCAGCAGAAGCTGACACTGTGGGTAGAAGCAGGCATTTTTCAGAGAGGCTAGTGGTGTGAAACATCCAATTATCACTATCAGAGCAAAAACTCTGAAACTAAGAATGATGGATCAAAAAATAAGCTTATAATGTAGTGAACAAAACAGCCAGTCAAATCTAAATCTAACTAGATAAAGAGGCATCGTTTTCCTGTTTGGATGCTTTTTACCTCTGAATATGCAGATAAAGAGAGTCTTTAAAGAACGACTGACCCCTAAATCCACTTTTTTTTGCTGACAAACTGTAAACAAATGTCTCATAGTGCTTTCTACATGAAAGTTTTCTTCATGTCAGTTGAAAACCTGCTTTTGTCTCTAAAATCGTCTGATTGGCGCCGTCCTCAGGTTTAAAACTGGTCACTACGTGGAAGCTAAAATGATGTCATTCGGCCATGCTGAGATAAAGTACGCTTTCAGCATAAACCAAGCTTTAGTCGGATTTCCATAAATGACTTCTTTTGGGAAGTTGAAGGCAGGATTAGGCTAGGAAACCATGATTCATCTCATACGAGCTACTCAATCTATCATCTGTAATGAGATGAGAAGCAGGTGGGAGGCCCCAAGTGGGCTAATCTGACCCTAAGACTGATGCTACGTTCACACCGCGAGCAGCAGGAGCAACAAAAATGCGCTGCTGCTTCAATTTTGATGTTTGTACAAATTTAGTTCTGAAGCATCTTTGCTGCTCTAGCTGC